ACCCTACATATGTGAAAACATATATATACTCACACACTATATTTATAAATCATAGCTTATACATATATATACATATAGATGTATATATAGTTAAAAATGCATAATGAAAATATAAGTCTTTGGGTATAAATATAGTGTCTTTTGTCTATTAAATTGTGTCATTGCAGCAACTCTCAGAGTTAGGGGAATGTTAGTTCATGAGAAATTTCTCTAAATATTTTTATGGGGATTACTTTGGGTCTAGGAAAAGTCCGTTTTTTTAGCATCCCAATAATGTGTGCCATATCTCCTCTTGAAAAGTTTCCAGAAATTCTGAGAAAAAGAGACAGCAGCAAAGAGTATAGATAGACAGTTGGGTAAAAAGAAACAACTATGGTAATAATTTTGAGAACTGTTCAAGACCTAGTATCAAGTTGTAGAGCAGTTATATTCAAAGTTATATTTAAATTCTTTTGATTTTTTTTTTCAGTTTTCTGTATGAAAGCACTAATGGTTTGTCCCTACCTTGACTTTTAAAATGTCTCTTGAACAGATACTAGTCCTCTAACCAGCAAATGGAATTTACTCTCTTTTAGCTTCATCATAAATGCCAATGTTTTGTTACAGAATTATGGTAGAGATGTCCATGATTGTTTTTCATTACATATCTATTGTGGATTATTACATCACTGGACAGTTAAGAAGAGAATCACTCAATTCTAATACGTTTAGATGCATTTCTTTCTGATCTGGCACATGGACAGTTAGAACGACTTAACTATATTCCTTGGAGCACCAGGGGTTTGCTCCAGTAATAGAGCAGAACTTTTCTGCTAGAATGCCCCATCATGGAACTATATAGTCTCCAGTTAAGTGGATATTAATGGACAATGGCAAGTTATTCCTTTCTTAACCCCATTACCAACTCAGTTCAATTTCATTTGCCTCTCAAATAAGACAAATATGTCATTAAACAAATTGGACATCAAGTTTCAAATAGATGGTAGAGTTCATAGGGAAAGACAAAAAGGAGACAAGAGATGAGATGCATTGTCGGATAACCTGAAATGTTAAGAATTGTGGGAATTGTGAGTGTGATAAAGGGGTTTAGAAAAAATACACTATATTCCCATTGTTGTTGTTTAAATCAGATTTTGCAAAGGAAAGTGTAGGTGTTTAGGAATTCGAGTCCTTCACTTCTTTGGGTCTTCGTTCCTTCATGTGTAAACTTAGGTATACGGAAGAAGCAATTTTTTTCAAAATGAGAAAGAACCTGATAAATTTTCCATTTTACAACTACAGAAACTGGGCCCCAAGAAGGTAATTCATCTTACCCAAGGTCACACATCAGGTGAGTGCCAGAACTAAGAGACGAGCTTGCCTTACTTCCATTTCTCACTAAACTGGGCCAGCCACTGCAGTTTCAACCTCCTTCTACCACTACTAGCATTCTGTGATTCCAGGCAGAATTTTCAGCCCCTTCACTTTTTCTCATGCCCGGGAATTCTTATTAAGTTATGACTAACCAAGTGTAAAATATGAGTCAAAATGTAGTCCCTAATAAAGTCATTGTGACTTTAATGACTTTGGCGGTTGTTTCGTTCTGCAAAAACAGGAAGATCTCACACAATAAGGCGCCTGTCTCACAGATGGGCTTCTGCGCAGACGGCCACCCACAAGGGTGACTCCTGAGGTTGTCTTCCTCTCAGGGACACCTTTTTTTTCATCTGCAGGTTTCATCTACTTACTTCATCTTAAGGTTATCAATGAGAGGAAAGTACCTGCTTTATCTAGCCTTTGATAGGCTGAAGAATATTTTTGATCACTAAAGATTCACTCTTAAGTGATTTCCAGGTCACCCCCTAACAAGCCCAGATTAGTCTTAAAAGTAGGTCTTTTATTTGCTTGATACTAGTCCCTTGTACTATTACTCTTCTAGATGGTTTTATTCTTAGAAAGACAGAATCAACAAGTTTTAGAACCAGGATGAATTTCCGAGATCATTCTAGTCCAGGCTTCCTGTGTGATTGATTTAACAAGAACTTTTCAGGAGAGTTTCTAGCTTTACTGTGGATCTTTGCGCAAAGCCCAAACTAGTCCTCTGATGAGAAATATAGAAAAATGATGAAGTGTTCCATCCCTTCAGGAGAAATTGGCTCGGAAGAAAATATTCTCTGTACGTAGTAGCATTGAAGCCAAAGAAAAATTGAAGACATAAAACAAAATGTTTGTATTCAATTTCAGCTTTTGCTATTCTATATATTTTAAGTAACTTCCCACTATTAAAGGTAGCCTATTCAAAAAAATTCACATATGATTTTATAGAGAAGATATATGCTAGGCAAACAATATCGAATTATTTAAGTAGAGAATGATATCTTTTTCCCTTTTCAGAAAATAACTAACTTCTGGCCGTGTTCATGAATCTAGTGTTGGGCGTAAGTTTAAGGAAGCACTGGAGGAATTTGTATTACTAAGGGTTCATTCACAAACTTTGCTTGTCTGTTGAAAAGGGGCTTTGGCCATTTCCTCTGGGGACATTATTTCTAGGTAAGCTCTAACAGGGTTTTCTTGTGAAGGCAGCTTCTTAATAGAAAAATAGGATATGTGTACCTCAGGTTGTAGAGACACATTTATCTTTGAAATAGTGTGCTCCTGTTTGTGGATTTCTCTACTGCATTTGATAAAGTAAATAATGTCTATTCCCTTTCAATCCCGTAACTCCTGGGCCACAGTTAACCTCAGGAGCTGTTTAATTTTCTTATCTGGACTGAATACCCAACTTGATAAGGAGACAGGGAGACTCCAAGGGTCTTAGAATATAAAACTCTGGAGGGATGATAACCACTTCTCTTCCTTTTGTTGGTGACCTATTCTTTTGGACTGAAGCATTTCCGATTTGGGTTGTTTTTCTCTGTAGCGTTAAGAGAGTTTTGTTTTCTGGGAAATTTTGCTTGCCGGTAAATCATATGTCCAGACAGTAGGAGGCTGCCACAAAATTTATCATAGAATCTTGACAGGTTTGGGCTGAGATCCTAAAATCATGCATCACTCTCATTTTGTATATGAGAGCTAAGGTGACTTCACCAGACTGTTACCTGTTATCGAGAGCTGAGAATGAAAGTCTAGATTCGTCTACTACATCGTAGCTACCTCTGGCTCAACAGAAACAACTCCCATATGGGAATCAGACACTGAAAACCCCACTAAGCCAAGCTTCCCCACTGTCTCCGTAGCCTTAACCTCAAACACAAGCTATTCCATTCCTTGACGTGTCTCATCACACAGGCCAGAACTAATCATACTAATTGGACTCTGCCTTACTAGAATGTAAAAGATACCCCCTGTCTGCTCCTCCAAGGCCATGTCTGCCTTGCTTAGTTTGTACAGAGCCCAATATAAGTGGGCCCTTCATAAATGCTTTATGATGAAAGCAGTGATTGCCTTAGTCAATGTGGTTGGACCCTCCCTTATGGAGGAGGAAAACCAAAGGCTGTTGCTAAGCAACATTTAAAGGACTGGGTCAGTTTCTGACACTGAGTGACCTCCATCTGCTTACTTCATCATGTTGTGTGTTTTATGGTTGCCTTAAAATGACTTTGGGTTTTGGTGGCATTGTCATGCCGTTAGCAAAAGGCTCATAGGAGAACTAATTTAGGCATGAGAAGGAGAGAGGTGGTTTTCAGCTGTCAACTACTTACATGAGTTCACTAACCCATCTGTGAGCTCTGCAGGAAAGGTGAGGAGTTTGGTTTATTCTCAGCCCTGTGGCTTAGAGCCACCTCCCTGTGCCCACGTTGGGACTGATTGACAATGTATACCAACAGGATCCTGTGGCAATGGGAGGTGATAGAAAAAAAGTAAGAAGGAAAGTCTTTCCTATTCTTTTATGATTGAATTTCTAGCTGCTCCTATATTCTGAGCTGAAGGGTCGATACAGCTAATAAAGAGTTGGCCCCAGCCTCAGCAGACAGTAACTGTTGTGGTTAATAAACATGCCCTAATATATCTGACTATTTCTATTAGCATGAAAGCTTATTAAAAGCATGAAAAGTGTTTTTGTTTGTTTGGGGGAGTTTTTTGTTTTCTTTTTTTTTACTGCTATATCCTTAATGCATTGCTTGGCACATTTTGGGGTTCAGTAAATATTTACCAGATACATGAGGTGAAATGGCATTATTCAGCTAGTACAAACCTGATTGACTCCAAAATCTTCCTAAGTATTTCCAAGAGACCAAAGGAACCAAAATGAGGATGATTGCTTGAATGTTACATTTGGCTAAGTCTAGTGCGGAGACATAATTTAAAAAACCATCTGTCTCTATGCTTTCTACAAGACATTTTTTTGCAATGCTCCGAGTAAAGTTTGCTTCTTTGCCAAAATTCAGCTGATCCATCAGAGCACAGAAACCTGTCTTTTTCAGCTTCTGAGTCTTTAGTGTAAGTGCCTGTCTTTTGAGAACTGAAAATAAGAGGCTATTATGACAGCAGTTTTGTCTTAAAGAAATAAACAACTTAGAACTTACATGATTCACCTGGAGTTCAAATTGCAGAGCAGCTCGATAAGTAAAACACACTAGCTGAGATGATTAATTCAGAGATTTCTGGTGACTGTTACTAACATATCATGGGAAGACCCACACGTACACCAGCAGGGTTCCCCAGAAGGAGGGTGACTGGCATGCCTCTTTGAGGACAATGCATAGAGCAGTGAGCTAAAGGACGGCAATACTGACTTGCATTGGCTTCACCTCAAAAGGCCTGGTCTCCCGGGCACAGGCAGTGGCATGAGGGGGCCTGGATGCTTGAAGTGAAGCCATTGTCTGTGCAGGATGCTGATTTGAAAGGGGAGTGCCTCACAGGAAAGAGAGCCAATTGCGTGCGGAGACTGTTGCCATGGTGCTTCGCTATTTCTTTAACGTGCTGTACTTGAACTCCTGGGAGTCCAGGGGTGGGGTAACGGAGGAGGGAGAAGGAGGGGAGTGGGATGGGCCTGGGTAGGGAATCCCACTGCAGGGCTCTAGTCTCAGACTTTCTTCTTGCTTGTGATCTTTCTAAAGCCGACAAGGTGAAAGAGAGAGAAAGAGAGAGAGAGAGAGAGACTATAGCAAAGACTTCCTCAGCATGCTCCAGATTTCAAAAACAAAATAAAAATTAATTTAATTCTTAAATATTTCTAGCATGAATTAGAAGATGTAACACTGAAATACCAAAACAGCACAGTCTTTCATAACCCCGAATAATTCTCCATTCATGCAGCAAACGATAGCTTGTATTTCCTAACTCACTCCAGATCCTAGATGGAAAGGTTAAATGTGTTTAATTCATTTGTCGAATGCAGTCTCATGTGCATATTAATGAGCTGATGGAGGGCAGAAAATTATATTCTGCATACGAAGTACTTTTAAAACGAAATCATTAATTCTACTCCCATTCGTTTCATTGTGAAAGAAGTCTAAATGCACTGGCATGCCGTTGGTGTGCAGAAAATCTCCCCAAAAGCTAGCTTAAAAAGTATTCTTGTATACTGAAAGCCTAGTTTGAAAAGAGCCACAGTTCTCGCTTTTTCCATGTTTTTTTTTTAATGTTCGGAAAGTAAATTAATCAAACACACCGTCACTTCGAAACCCTTAGAGCGGCTGAGCTCTGCACGGAGGCTGCGTCTGCAGTGTCCTGGTCTCCGCAGTGGAGAGAGGGTGAAGAACACCTAGATGAAATGGGGGAGGGTACCGACTTCGGATTGCTTTAAATATTCATGGGGCTTCCTCCATTTTAATCTTCTCCTTTTAAAAAGATGGCTGTGTTTCCTAGTCTGGCATCCCCTCGGGAAAGAAGAATTGCTCCTTCCTTGCAGAGTTCAGCTGAGCAGGACTAATCTAGAGTGGAAACCCCTTCGGCCACCAGGACTATTCATAATTCATAAGTGCTGCAAACCAGCCAGCTGAATGCATTTGGACAGGCTTTTGCACCTTCGTGCACGTCCTGATTTCATTACTCTCTCTGCCAGGGAAGAAGCAGGGAACATAGGCTTCTTGCAAGAATGGAGTGCGAAGATGGGCTTTGTTTGGATTAGAAAATGCCCTAAATTTCGGAGGCTTTGTCTGTCATAAGTTCTGATTATTTTACCACTGAATCTGCAAGCCTTTCCCGATCCTTTGGGGACTGCTCTCTCAGAACTGTGAATTCTTTCAAAGGGATTTTTGTGGATTGTGGCAAGGAGTGCATTCCAAAATGCCTGAGGCAAACTATTTGTTATCTGTATCTTGGGGTTACATCAAGGTGGGTTAATTTGATTCCATTACGTGTCTTTGATAGAATGTGAAACATTTACATGTGTATGTTTTCTGTGAAGTAGAAAATCTCTGTAATGATTTAATTGTGTTATCACTTAGCCCACTGAGGCTGCTTATGGTGAAATAGGGGCATGTTATATTACATTGTATTTAAATAGACTGTGTTGTATTTTAACCCTATTCTTTTTACACGTGTCTATTTTTAAAGAATGCTTATCTTTTCTTTTGTTTTCCCTTAAACTTTTCACATTTAATCACCTCTCACTCTATAGGTTATTAACTCAAATTATATTTTAGAGTTAATTTCCAATAAACGTATTTTTAAATGTGGTTATTTTTAAGTGAAATGATCTTGACCTCTGTTAAAATTCCTTTTCCTATGTTTGCATCTTCAAAAGAAATCAGATGTTAATTCTAAGAAATCTTAAGAAAACCTTTTTTCCCTAAGGTGACGTTGGAATAATTTCACATTATTGTGTTTTGTAGAAACGGTATCATTTATCTAATGATGTCTGCTCACTCGGTCTCTTGGTTCTTAATAAAGTTGGAAACATCTAAAATGATAATCTGCTATTTTTTAGGTGGTTAATACGTTTTTGTTCTTTATAAACAGTTCAAAAGAATGCTGAACCGGGAGCTGACACACCTTTCAGAAATGAGCCGATCGGGGAACCAGGTGTCTGAATACATTTCAAATACTTTCTTAGGTAAGATATTCACTGGAAAACTTATTCCATAACTGAGATTTTTTTTTTAATATTAATTTCTGCAACCTGTCAGGAACATCACTATATGAGTTTGGAATGGGGTTAAGTGACAGAAAAATCCATTTAAAATAAGAACTAAAGACAATCCTTAACATAAAAAAAAAAAAAAAAAAATGAAAGGTGTTGTAAAAAAAAAAAATAAAAAAAAAAAAAAAAAAAAAAAGCTGTAAGGTGTTGTGAAAAAAATGAATGAAAATACCCATCAAAGAGAGAAGTTTATTATGGGCTAATTAAATTTATATAGACCTCAGGTCACTCCTTATCTACCCACCCACTTCCATCTCTGTCAGACCTCTGAAGGGGGGGTGGGTGATGGGGGGTTCAATCATCCAGTCCTTAGGGACAACTCCAATTGGCTCCTGTGACATGGTATTCTTTAAATTCTTCCAGTAACTGGGCTTTGAGCAAAAGGTTTCCTTTTAGATGCTTTGCGAGAGATGGCTGGAGAACTGTATGGTGATTTAACCCATGATAATAAGCTTTGGAAATAAACTGACTGTTGCTTTGCTAAGGTATTTCTTAACGATTCATGGGGGGAGGGCAGAAAGAATCTGCACCTCTCTGAAGGAGTCAGCCTTCTGCAAGCAGCATCATTATTTTCCTAATCTGATACTTACCTATCAGTCTCTGCTTTCACATTGCTAGTCTTTTAACACATGTCACTGACAGGAAAGGTTTGCATCAGTGCCTCTCAACTACTGTCATGCATCCTGTTTGATTACTAGGAATTTCTGATCTCATGTTTAAAGCCATCCTGCTGTGTATTTTTCTTGAATAAGACCTGCAGAACCTGCAAATCTGTACCTCAGAGTGAAGGGGTAGCCTTTAGACTCTGATTCTGTTGACTTTCAATTACCACTGAATTATGCTCATTTAGCAGAACTCCACTTTCCAGGGAAATGACCTATTCTTACAGCTGAACGTTACACCTCCCTTCTTTTTGGCATTGCCGCATATCCTTAAATCAATGTGCATTTGCCTTGATGTCTTATGGAAACACATACCTCTTCTAGTTTTATTTTAAAAAGTCAATTCTATTTCTCTAATACCAAAGCAGTTCCTGCTATCAGCAGATCAGTCTTTGATCAGCCTAGTGGAAAGCTCATGGCGCTACTCTGTGGCCAGTGGGCATTGGCATGACTGACAAGTGCCTTTCCAACAGTTTCCAGTATGTGGGTGTCTGCAGCACCTGGTTTTCTCCAGCGGCAGTTGTGGCAACCTTTGTCAGAGAACAAAGAGAAGATTTTTTTCATACATCCTAGCTCCAAGAGGAGCTAGAATCTAATTGAACAGAAAGTGTTGTGTACTGATCCTTTTCTTCTCCATTATCCCCCTTTATGCTTTTGAAGGCAGGCATCTTCTCCTGTTCATCTGTGTGACACCCAATTATTTTTCATAAGCTGGGGATTGTTTTAGGGACAGTCTCCAGGTTAATGACTGTGGGAAAGAAGAATAAAATCAGTAAGTGCAAGGACTCATTTTTGTGTTCATAAACATTGCATGTTAAAATATCAGGGCTTGTCTGTCGTCTCAGAAGAGACTCTGACCACTGGAGTAAAGCTGCAGGAAGTCTCTGAGCTCTTCATCATCCAAGGTTGTACCTAAGCAGTCCTCTTGGCTTGTAGCCTCTTTCACTATCTACTTGCTAAGGACCATGAGAATAGTTTAGTATACCAATTATTCTTATTTTACCATCAAAGGCTATCAAGTGAGGAGGCTGAGAAGATAATAAAAATGAGTTCTCAGTTTCAACACTTTGCATCTCAAGAACGGGAAACTGTCAACTCTGTTGAATATTCCATTTACTATGGAGGCATATCTCTTGAGGAAAACCATCATTTGGCTTCTCATTATTCCCCCCAAAATTAAATTATCAACAACAAGTGGTTTGAGGTAGGTTGTTAGAACCTCAGTCCTTACACACTCAACATTAGGAGGGTGGTGAGCCTGAGTGTGTGTTTGTGTGTGTGCGTTTGCATGCACACGCATGTGCACACACAAGGTAGACCCGATCAAACAGACTAGACAGACAGATTATATTCTTGAGAAAATTTAGGGAGAAAAAAATCCATCATATAAACAAAAGATTCATCAGCTACTTCAACTGTAAAATGGGAACACTGGAGTAGATGACACCCTCTGTCCATTCCAGCTCTAACTTTCTATATGGATGGAGTTTATCAGTCTTGCTAAGACATACCTGGCAACCTGGATTCTCTGGAATAGCCTGTAGGCTTACAATTTGATAATCTTAAAAAGCAAACAAACAAAGCTTGTTTCCAAACTGCAAATGCAGGACATGGAACTCTACGTCCTGTCTTGTGAGCATGGCGAGTATTCCTGGAGGACCATGAAGCCTTCTTCACAAAATGTCAGATCTGAAGGGGACCTTAATGGCCTCATCCAGTTCCCTCATTTTCCAAGAAAGAAAACTGAGGCCCAGAAGGGTATGTAACTTGACCAAGATTACTTGGCTAAAATGTTCCTGAGCCAGAACTATGACTTCACTCTCTTGACTCCTAGATCAAAATACCTGTCACTTCTTTAACTAGGAAAGGTTATTAGGCTGTCAGAAGAAAATCGCCTTTCAGTAATAGATGTAATCTATGGAGAAAAGTCTTTAGAATCAGGATTGTTGGACCTAAAAATGTGTTAACAGCTTCCAGTAATATAAGAGCCTCTTGTCAGAGCACAGCAACCATCTCCAAGAGCACAAAATGGGAAGACCTTATTGATTTCAGTTAAACTTGAAGAGCAGTATCTCAGTAAGAGTCATTGAAAGTTAAAATGTGTCATCCAGAAAGGAGGGAAATCCCTCACTGCAGGGAATGTGTGAAACTTGTATTGTTTCCATTTAAAAGGATGGCGTCCAGATGGACAGGCTGACATGCAGGCAAGAGACCATCAGTGCAGGCAGTCTGTGATACTCATACAGGTTAATGGGCTCGGGTTGCTGGTACAGGAGGAAGTAAAGGACCCAGGGGGAAGGAGCACAGATTAAAGCAAGATATTTAGATGTGATATTACAAGTTAGTTGATATTTTTTCAGAGAAGAATCACCCCTTTAAATCCCCGACTTACTGTCTCCAAAGCTGGAACATAGAATTCTCAAGACACAGGGAAGAGAACTCCGGAATTTTGCATGATTAAATGCTGTAAGCTAGCAAGAAAAGCACCTCCAATGCCGCCATTATCAGAGTTTTGATGAGACGTTTTTTGCATCTGTTTATTTATTTATTTATTTGGTACTGTTCCACTCTTTCCCCACTGTAGTCTGACCATTCTGTAAATGTGAACTCACAAAGCATGTAGTATGATTCTTTGAGTGTGTGTTTCAGGTTACTTCTGCATGGGACTGGCTAAGCATTTAGCAGAGGAAATTCAGAATAGGGAAACCCATCAGTTGTTCCAATGCCTGCATAGGGAAACACCCATTAATGTCAAAATGGCACTCTCTGTGGATAATGGCTTTCTTCTTTATCGTAATGTTCCAGACACAGTAGTGGTTCGGCTCAATTTCTCGCTGTCGTAGGGAATCTTTAATTAAACAAAGGGAAAAAGCTGCTAGTCCCGCTAGAGGTTTTATATTTGCATTGGCACAGAAGAATCTAACAGCTTCGTTAACCAGGCATGAAGAATGGTGAAGAATGATGGTTAGGAAACGCAGGGGCTATTGTGGCCTTTTATTTTAGCAAAAGTAGTCATTATTAGGAGTGAAGTGACAGGGAGAAAAGTAATTTCAAAAGTAATGTCATATATAGTTTTTATGCCAAAGGTTGAGAGACCAGAAAGAGATTTTAACGGGAACCTGAAGGCCTGGGTTCTAAGCTATTAAATCACTGCGTCTGGAACAAAGTGATTGTGAAATAAATATCTGTTGAATGAATTGCCCTTTAGCTTGGGAAAGTTGCTGACTTCATCTGAAAAGTGAACATGTGGGATTATTATTGGTTCCCAAACCTGACTCTGATCATCAAAGTCACTTGGGAAGATTTTTAAAAAACACTGATTCAGTAGGACTGGGTGGGGCTCATAAATCTGTATTTTTCAAAAGTTCCCTGGGTGCTTCTGATGCTGAACTAGGTTGGAAACCCCTGAACTAACGGGGATGACCACTAAAATTCCTCCCTAAGGCAGAGTCATAGGCTGATGAATCTAGGAACTTGGGGGCACCCAGAGACAGCCCTGAGATGCTAGGGATAGAGAAATCTCTTGCTCCAGCCCTACAACCAGGTACCAAGGGTCCAGGACAGCTGCTTCCACCTCGCTGTGCTCACTTTGCTTTGATGAGTTGTCCACAGGGCTCTGTGAGCAGGCGGAGGTCTCCAGGGAGAACGTGTGACTATGCCATCAGCTGCAAGAGTTGAAAGCAAATCATCTAGATCCCAGCAGGCCATCTGGAAATGTGTCATTTTCAAATAGAGAAGTTGTCTTTAGACTCATTTTCGCTGAAACAAGTAGAGATAAATGCAGGAACTTTTGAAAGCTGCATTAACTCTTTCAGCCACAGGGTGTCATTTAGTTCAATGAAGTAGCTGTAGAGCACCTCAATAAATGATTGCCTCAGTGCATTCACAGGCATCCCTGTGGCCTGAGAGAGTTAATGCATTTTTCAGAAGGACTCGGGATCCATCCATCTCCCTGAGAAGTGAAATAGAATATTTGATTGCTGATATTTTTAATAGCATGATATAGAAGAAAGAGCTTCTATGAGCAGGTAGATATGTTTTTCTCACTAACCCTAGCCCTCCTTTTATCTTGTAGCAGAATTTTTTTAAAAATTAAATGAGATGATTATAAATATTTAATAAGCACAAATACATTAATAAATGTAATGCCTGTTACCAATGAGAGGCGTTGTTATTATTTACTAGCAGAATTCATAGACACAAGGCATGAAATAAAACTGAAATTACAGTCTTCCTCTTAACCTCAAATCGTCATAAGCCAAGGCTTTAGAGTAATCATTTGAAGATTAGAAGCCATTTATTTCTCTAACATATATACTACTCATCTAAACTGAACCCAGCTACTGTTATATGGATCTTTTAAATTAAACAATAATTACAAACATAATAAAGTGAGCAAAACATAAAGCCTGTTTTTATTAACCTGGGCTTGGCTACATGAACCTTTTCTATTTTTACAAACATACAAGTTATTCACTTTAATAAGAAATTTACATATAAATATTGATGCCTCACCTTGAAAGTGTATGAGTGTAATTGTCCCAAATCACCCTGCAAACAGAAGACATGGGATTGAGTTCCACCTCTGCCACTTCTTGAACAACTTATTTAGCTCTCTGGACGTCAGTTTGCCGCTTTAGCAATAGAATCATGCATCACCGGATTGTCCTGGAGATCAAGTGAGATAACGCTATGACAGACCTTCATAAGATGAGCCATCCATTATAGACCGTTAGAAGTTGTTTTTGAATATTGCAGTGGGTTCTCATTGGCACACAAGGACTGGAAAACCTATTTTTGTGTTGTTGCAGACAAGCAGAATGACGTGGAGATTCCATCTCCCACCCAGAAAGACAGGGAGAAAAAGAAAAAGCAACAGCTCATGACACAGATAAGCGGAGTGAGAAAACTGACGCACAGTTCAAGCTTAAATAATACAAGTATCTCACGCTTTGGAGTCAACACGGAAAATGAAGATCATCTAGCCAAGGTGTGTATGAGCTGGGTGTGTGCTCATGTAGCTCTGCTTTATAGCAGGCAGATGTCTAAAAGCTCCTACTATAGCAGGCAGATGTCTAAAAGCTCCTATAATAATCGCTTTTGCATTATTATTAAATAGTACGATGAGGCTGATGTAGCCCGTTGTCCATTGTTGAATACCTAGTTAAAGGCCCTTTTTCTGTACCAAAGGACCATATTTTGTCCTGAGTTGTGTCCATTAACCTATGAATGGAGAATCCTGTTGAACACATATTGGGAGAATCCAAGGTGAGGGCAGTAGACAGGGCTGAATTACCCCAGAGGATATTTCAGAGACTGTATGCCAAGGACCGATGAGAAAATCTGCACTGATTGGCAGAGCTGAAGAAGAAATGAGAGAAATTGACAGCCTTGATCCTTGAGCCCAAACCCTAGTAGTAGAGGAAGGCTCAGAAAGAATTCATACCTCCTCTCGGAGGCCGTGCAAGGTGACTGCTGAGGTTCTCTCAGCCTTGTGAGAATATGAAATGAGAACAAATGAACATTCAGTGAGGGAGCGTCTGAAAGATGTCATTAGAAGAAGGTTGATTACACATTGGGCCAAGCCTCTGGGGAGAGCCTGGATCCCTTACTCTGGGCAGTAATTAATAATGGAATAAATTGTTCCTTTAATCAGATAATCTTGGAATAATCCCACAACACAGGATGGAATGATGTTTCTTTCAAGTCTTTCTGTGGTGCAGGAGCTCTAGGATGTAATGGATGACTAGCATCTTCATGACCTTTTATACTAAATCAGGGTTGACTTACACACATTCTAGCAGCTAAGTCTCCTTGACATGGCTCTCAGTGATAATAACCAAAGGGCAGAGGAGTTTCCCTGAGATTGCTTTCTAGCTGTTACTCATGGACCAGTGAGCAGAGAAGGGGAGAGACAGGGAAATGGGGCTAGAATGATCTCTAATCACTTGCACCTACTTCTGAAAGCAACATTGATTGAGGACTGACATACGGCAAAAAATTAGAGGTCAGCAACAAAGTTTATCAATAAACACACATTCTCCCTTTTCTGAAAAATATGTACAGAACCTTCTAACCAGCATGAAGATACTCAACTTCCCAGATCATTCCATTTTCAAACGTTCATGCAACCAGAACACTCTAACTAGATACTCTAAAGACTTAGCCAACCCCTGTCCCCAGAATAAATAAAAATAATGAGGCATGTGAACAAAACTGTCCTTATTTCTAAATTTCTCTAATTTTGATGATAGGAGCTGGAAGACCTGAACAAATGGGGCCTTAACATCTTCAATGTGGCTGGATATTCACACAATAGGCCCCTAACATGCATCATGTATGCCATATTCCAGGTGAGTAAACAGGAGTGAATGTTGGTTATCCAATTAGATGCTCTTTATGATTTTTTTCCATCCCAGTTTACTTTTCTGATTTGGTTTTTCTTCATTTTTGGACATCCACTTAGTTATTTTCTAATCCTTTTCGCTGCATAGGAAAGAGACCTCCTAAAGACATTCAAAATTTCATCTGACACCTTTGTTACCTACATGATGACTTTAGAAGACCATTACCATGCTGATGTGGCATATCATAACAGCCTACACGCTGCTGACGTAGCCCAGTCAACCCATGTTCTTCTTTCTACGCCAGCGTTAGATGTGAGTAGTTATGATCTGTTTTGCATACCCTGCCCATCCTCCTTAAAAAGTGCCATACAACATGTGATATATTTATAGAAATAATGTAATTAGATGTTTTTGCATACTGGAACTGGCTCTTTATTATGTAGAGCATGTATCAATTGGGTTATTAATATAAATGGATGACATTTCTACTTGCTTTCTCATATCAGAGTAACCTTTCCTTTACCTCTGTTACAATTGAAAAATTATTTAATTATCAAGCAGTTAATAGGATGCTCTATTTGTCATTGTATCTCTAGTACCTAATAAGTGTCTAGTTCAGCATTTAGTATATAGTATATCCTCAGTATGCATGTGCTGACCTGAGCTGCCTACACCATCCCAGGTCCTCTGAGGGATAGCACAGAAATATAATATAAAATGTTCTATATAGTTCCTGTTAAGAATAAGCATCCATAAGCTTATTTGCTTAAGAATTCATAAAACTGGTTCTATGGATTGAAGGAAAAGTAACTGAAAAATCTAGAACTGAGGAATTAACAATGCTGAAGCAAAGAGGGACAGCTTTCCAACTTGTTAGACATCTCTCTAGAAGGTGGCTGTGACTGCTTCTCTCACAGATTAATGCATTTGTATATATCACTATAAGCAGCCCAGTGGGTACAGCAGTCCATGCTCTTCCTTGACAGATGGCAGTGGTGGTCAGGTATTTCCAAAATGTGTAGGCTCACTGTGAGAAGGGACTGGCCATGCCCTAGCCAAGCCCACCTCTGCAGATTCAGCTTGGAAGGTGAAGAAAGATTAAACTGACCCCAACTCTATTGCTTGGGTTCCATATATTCTGAGAAGTGAAATCCAAGAAGCTAAGACTGTTTTATAGCCCTGAAGGAAAAAAAAAACAGTATTATTTTTATGTTCTGTGTCAGTATCACACGGTGGGCCAACACTGTTTATCAACTGTCTGCTGCTGTTACCTACTGTGTGGCTGGAAATTGAGCATGAGAACCACAGATGTTTAGAGAAGGGAGAGTTCAATGTGTCCTTGCGTAATTAGATTGAATTGAAGGATCAGAAGATTTAAGTAACCACAGAGAATGATGAAAGACATTTCAGCCAGAAGCAGTTTATACCTAAGTAAATACTAGGTTTAAATCATTGCATACAGGTAGGGGAAGAGGAGGGAGGCTTCACGGGATGGCATGAAGGAGTTGAGCAGTTGGCATTAGGTCTCATTTCTCAGAAATGTCCTCAAATCTTGTCCATACTAATCACTGAGTGGATAGGTATTGACTGAATGGATGAATGAATAAATGTGTGAAAGCTCTGACCATGCTACAAATTTAGCTTTAAGAAATAACTTATTGGCAGGCTTATAAATCTGGAATTTGGCCTTAGTTATGCAGCCTGAAAGCATATGAAGCTTTTTATATCAGAGCAGAGCCAGTCTGACGTGCTTCTTTGACCACTATATGTGCTTGTGTTGCATAAGCATCATCCTGTTATACCACTTATCCAAGAAACAAATATCAGGTACCACCTGATCTCTTACCATGAGCGCTGTGCTAACGCCTTCCCCGAGCCTCAGCCTGCAGGCTCAATGTGGGCATGGGCTCTGACCACCAATCCTCTCACATAGGAGACCTTATGATGATGGACAGAATCTACATTTAATTAAAATAGTATATTGAGACGTTGCAGAAATCAACAAACCATCTTTCTCCCAACAAGAATGAAATGGGGTACCTTAGTATGAAACTAATTAAGCAGGACAGGCAAATGGAACGTGGAGTTCAGTGCACTCATTTTGCCCTGCAGGCCGTCTTCACAGATTTGGAAATCCTGGCCGCCATTTTTGCAGCTGCTATTCATGATGTTGATCATCCCGGAGTCTCCAATCAGTTTCTCATCAACACAAGTGAGTTCGCCACTAGAACAGTCATTTGAGATAATTGTATGAGTCACTGCTTCATTTCTTTCCTCCTGATGTTTTCATTATGGATAATAATAAGGGTAATAATGAGGTAATCCTTCCATTCCACTCAAACTGGTCAGACCTTTCCTGGATACTGTGTCCAGTCTAGCAACATCACTTTGAGCTGCATGGAGAACTTGGAAAGGGTCAGAGGGGAGCCATAAAAAGTACTCAGTGTTTGGAAAATGCAATATGTGAGGAAAGAGTAACACATGTGGAATTATCCAGTAAGGATACGGAAAGGCTTGGGAATAATGTGGTAATGATTCTTTAGGATTATGCAGGGCTCTCACACAGAGCATGGCGACCCACTAGTGTCCCTCTCTACTGAGGGAGCAGGTTCAAACGTTGTATCTGAGCATGGGAGCCTCCATATAGAAATAAGACTCCAAGAAAAAGCTTCCACAATTCAGGATGGAGGGTCGGGTCATTAAAAGTCTCACACACTCTCTTCCAGCTTCATAGGTTTGATTATGCCCTGGTCTGTAGTATGGATTGGTCTGACTTCAGTGACCTTCAAGGGCTGGCCCATCCTTAGGATCCCAAGCCCTACTCAAAGCTTTTGTCATGCTCGAAATATTTAGTATCCATGCTAATGAAAATCCATGATTTTTCCCAGTTAATGTACCACTTCTAAATGCTGAAAATCTAAGTAATTTTTTCTCCTGAGAATACTGGTTATCTTGTTGTGGTCAAGATTAGCATCAAGTGCTGACGGTTTTAAGAAATATTGGAGCTACTTGCTGTGAAAGAGCCCTTATCATACTTTATCATCAGGATATTTGAATGACTAAGTGTGAGGTACCTTGGTTTTTACCTTGTTTTTCTACTGAAAGAACGTAAACTTTGGGCAGCTGCTTGTCTGTGTGGGTTATATCAGCTGGTCTACTGTGGTGTCATGAACCATTCCATATATAGGCCAGTTAGCTTCACACAGAAAAATGGTCTTTCTGCCAAAGCCACGTACCATAAAAAGCCAGCTTGCAGAGCTATGCCCTTGATCACAGGATGAACAAGGCAAGAGTGCTGAAACGACATCACATAACCCACCACCTTTTCTGAAGATGTAACTCAAAGCACACTGTAAAAGCAATGGTTTATGAGTAACAACACCTACAATTAGTAACATATTATCATCACTTGGTTATCATTTTGGTTAAGAGAAAATGTGGCTTCGTGAGTTTGATGACCATGTTCTCAATTGCAGACCATGGCGCTGCCTAACAAAGGTTGTCTGTGATTCTTCTGTGTGAAAGGCAGGCTAGAAGCTGTAGTTTAGGTAACTAGATAATGCAGTTTCTGTTGTATAGGGCCATAGGGCAGAAACTGGGATATCAAGATTGTTGTAAAAAATTATTGTTTTGTTACCATATTTACAGAAAGCTCCAAAGAGCTACATTATTTGAATAAAGTGAAATTTTACACTCACACCATTATCTTCTTTGAAAATCCAAAACTCACAATTGATGGAGCTGGGAAACATATCAAAAAGTGAGATAATGTGAAAAATTTTAATACCTTGGGTAAAGTTTAGTGGCATTTTCAGTCTGTTCTTTTTCCAAAGCACACATTTGTGAGGACATAAGGGAAGTTACAAACTGAGATAAAAATAGGATTAATTGCTTGGGAATGCCCTTACCTAAAATGTCAAATTCTTCATCTGAAGTGAAAAGGAAAAAAAGGATTTTAAAAATACTGTGACTTTTAATCAAAGAGAAAGTTTATGAGCTAATATCTACTGGAAACTTTTTTTTTTTTTTAACTTAGGAACTGACTATTTCTCTTTGTAGAGGGAGACTCTGCTCTAATAGAAAATGACATATGGGGTCTTGGTTCTTAAGATCATATGGAGAGAACTAGATCTGATTTCACACTGAGGTAATTCCACAGTTTGAATTGTATCCCTTTTTATTAAATCATCATTTTCCCTTGTTTATTAGATTCAGAACTTGCTTTGATGTATAATGATGAATCTGTGTTGGAAAACCATCACCTTGCCGTGGGTTTCAAACTGCTCCAAGAAGAACACTGTGACATCTTCCAGAATCTCACCAAGAAGCAGCGTCAGACACTCAGGAAGATGGTTATTGACATGGTAAGACTTTGGTCTCCCTGTGTTCCTCACTTTTGCTGGAAGAGAAAATCCATCTTCTTGATAAACTGAGTTTATTGAGAGTTTCCTTTTTTTTTTTTTTTTAACCTCAGGTCTTAGCAACTGATATGTCCAAACACATGAGCCTGCTGGCAGACCTGAAGACAATGGTAGAAACAAAGAAAGTTACAAGTTCCGGCGTTCTTCTCCTGGACAACTATACTGATCGTATACAGGTATTTGACAGAAGCCTTTGATTTAACACAAAGCCACACCAAATTAATGACGCAGCAATTAGAAAAAGAAAAACAAGTTTACTTAGTTGCATGTCCTAGGTTACTACTAAGGCTTTGGGCTTATTTTAAGAACGAGCAAAGGAAAATGGACATTCAAGTTGATTCTCTAATTTACGAAGAAAAACAGAACCCTATTTATTGAGTTGCTTAATTCTAAAAATAAACAGCAAAATCTCTTTATAATAGGGTATACGTGACTGCTGATCCCAAAGGCTCATGTTTGGACATAAATCCCACTGACTTGAACTTTGTTAGGTCTGTTTTGGTTATACAAATTGCCCTCAGTTGGTCTCCTCTTTCCACAAGTGGAAAATATGAAGACATCTACTTTGAGTAATTCTTTGCATTTTTTCCAAACTGAGGAGAAGAAACCATGGCAGCATCTGACCTTTAATGTCCCTTCCAGTTTTTTAATTCAATGACTGTCAATCAAAGAAGACATATTTTCCCTTTGGGGACTCTTATAATGGTAAATAACCAACTCTGGCCAGCGCCATTGTAATCCTGCTTTTTTGGTGCAAGCACCATAATTATAATGCAACTAAAATGTTCTTGGGTCTGGTACCAAGTGTACTAGTACGAGAGGGATGAGATGTTCTGGTAGTATTTATACCTCATTTTATGGGATTTCCAAAATTTGATGATTTCAGGTCCTTCGCAACATGGTACACTGTGCAGACCTGAGTAACCCCACCAAGTCCCTGGAATTGTATCGGCAATGGACAGACCGCATCATGGAGGAATTTTTCCAGCAGGGAGACAAAGAACGGGAGAGGGGAATGGAGATTAGCCCCATGTGTGATAAGCACACAGCTTCCGTGGAAAAATCCCAGGTATCTAATATAAGGTTTCAAAGTTTCTGTGAGCTCTGCTGATGGTTGAACTGGAGGGCTCTTTCTAGCTGTTTTCTTTTAAATATATATGTGTGTGTGTGTGTGTGTGTGTGTGAAATTATAAGGAAGCAACTACTTTATTTAGTTCCATTATGCTCATGACTCATTCGCCTTCTGCATTACACTCAATTTCACTACGAGGAGATAAAGCAGTCTTCAGAAATCCATCAAAGTTTGGACTGTGTATCCTCAGTTTAGATCATTGTCTATGACCTTAACAAATCCTGCTGATTTAACTGAATGCTGCTGTCTCCTTCATCTCATCCCTCTAGGTTTCCCCCAGCTCTGTCTTTATCCAGGACCTCTGCTTTTCACCCTTGTTTCCTGTTTTCGTTGTCTCTCCATAATCATGCACACTGCTACCATCACCAGAGGTGACGAATCTCATTCCCACACATCTCTCTGCCTCATAGTTGAAGCGCTGTCCTGTGTCCCCTTCCAAGGTCACGTCTACACTTCTGAGAGCATGCTGACATCTTTTGGTTGTGTCCAAAGCTACAAACTCTCTGTGTGCTAAGGACTGGGGGGACATTACACTGTAGGCAGGGAGATGCAGAAATGCCCCAGATGCCGCTAGCTGCAAAATATGTAGCACTAGATAGTATCGATATTCTTACAAAGGCTTCAGGGCCGGCTGAGATGCTATTTTTTTCAGGACAACAAACTACCTGAGCCAGGCAGTCATGATTAAGACTGTGTCTCTAGGCTGCCCAAGGCCTTTATCACAAAAGCATTCAGAGTATTTTTTGTTAGTGTTTATCCTCTTTCCCCACTACCTTCTACTCCCAAATTTACATGTAGTTATAATATCAATGTATAGTTCCTTTGCAATTATTGTTGTGTTGCTTTTTAAAGAAACCCAATCAAATGAGTTTAAAATCTGTAAGTGCTCTGAAGGTCTAATATGCCACAAAAACACATGATAACATAAAGTTAGGGCCAATTCAAATACCCTAATGCCTTAATTAGAACAAGATATTCATGAATTAGTTAATTAAATAGCATATTGCCCTTTTGTTAGCAACAGTGGTGTTTTGTATGTATATGATGTTCTGTGTGGTGTTCCACACATTCCCATACATTATCCCATTTGAACCTCCAAACAGCCTTGTGACATAGACATAGTAGGTATTTCCCCAGTGTGTCAGGTGAAGAAGCTGTCCTCTTGGTCCAGTTCACCCAGCTACCCTCCACCCAAAACTATTCACTGTCCATCACTGAGAACAGGTCTCACTGTTTCCATGATGTTGTGGTCCACCCTGGTATTTCCCACAGATGGGCTCTGGTGAGCATTGTCTGAGTAGTCTGGCAATGAAGCCCTTGATTTGTAGAGTTCTCTCGTCCCAGGGCCTAGGAAATAAGCAACTAGAGGCTACCTTTCAAAAAAGTGCTGAACATTTAGCAGAAGCAGAACAAATGAAGAAAGCAAATGACTGCACTGTGTTCAGCTGATTGAATTTTCTCCATTGCCTTGAGCTTGTTTTTTTCAGGTCCCTGGAAAACACCTTGAAAATAGTCTCTCAAAACCACTAAACATACATAAAGAAGTAAAAGGGAGGAAAGAGGAGTGGGTGGAAGTAAGAGAAATATCTGAATCATCCACAGTCGAAGTTCTTGTAATCAGTGCAGATCAGAGATGCCCTGATTGTTGTATGAATTCTGTTTGTTTAGGCTAGGGAAACACCAGAGAAAAGATAGATAGATAATAGGTAGATAGATAGATAAACAGATAGATAAAAGTCACATACGACTAAGGTTCTTTGATATGGTACAACTTTGATGTGTTAAATAACTGGCCCAAATCCAGAATGTTAATAAAGGGAAGTTTCCAGCAGTGTGGAAAGACAGCTATGTAATGCCCATGGGTGCACAGAAGTTGCCTTTGCTCATCTACCCCTGAATCCCGACCCAGCATCTCTCCAGCTCCCCAGACCATGACAGGGGAATTCCATTCCCTCATTCAACTAGTGCCTATTCTTTCTCTCAGCCTGTTCCCACCCCCAATGTTTCCTGTTTGTCCCACAGTGGAAAGGTCAGGATAAGGCCACAGAGCCAGCTCATGCAGGATGCATAGCCCCTGTGTAAACCATAACAGAGCCATAAGCCTCATATTTCTTCACAGGAACACTAGCAAAGGAACTGCTTAATTGTCTTTATTTTTCCTTCTTTCTCCTGATGGAAATGACGGTATGCCCTCTGGATCTAAAACAATTGCAGACGTGTCTGCAGAGGGGATATTTGTTTGTTTAGGGGCTTGAAGTGTTTTCAAGTGTTTTACCTACGTCGTCTACAAACCAAAAACATTCCACAGAACCTGAGACATCTCAGAGTCATACGAGGCTGGCTCCCTTTCATTTTAAAACCGCGGCATATTTTAAAGTTATCAGGGAAAGAATGTTGAGTCAGAGCTCAGTAGACCTGGAGCTTCCTTCTTCAGAGAATGACTCACAGAATCCAAGGAGTGACAAAGTCATTCCCAGCCAGGGTTACATCCAGACTTCTTACCTGGCAGACGTCAGAGGAAAAGTAATCAGTTCTAGTGAGACCAACACAGGCTTTGGGATCAGACAAAGTTGGGACTGAGTCCCATCTCCACCACTTACTGGCTCTGTGATCTCTGACAAGATATTTCATCTCAACGAGTCACAGTTTCCTCCTTTGTGAATGGTGAATAACCATACTTACTCTGCATGATTAAGAGTGATAATGTATATATTGCATTCAGTGCAGGATGCACCATATAGTAGGTACTCAAATAACAGATTCCAGTATTATTGACCTCTCTTGGGTTGTTGTGGCTCTTTCTTTGCATGCAAACCAGGACGGCTTGTTTGGTGTTCCAGGGCCCATCACAATAACAGGTGTGTAACCTTATTTTTCTCCAGGTGGGCTTCATCGACTACATTGTCCATCCGCTGTGGGAGACCTGGGCGGACCTGGTACAGCCTGATGCCCAGGACATCCTGGATACTTTAGAAGATAACAGGAACTGGTATCAGAGCATGATACCCCAGAGTCCCTCCCCACCACTGGACGAGCAGAACAGAGACTGCCAGGGTCTGATGGAGAAGTTTCAATTTGAACTGACCCTCGAAGAGGAGGATTCTGAAGGCCCCGAAAAAGAAGGAGAGGGCCACAACTATTTCAGCAACACAAAGACACTCTGTGTGATCGATCCGGAAAATAGGGATTCACTGGGAGAGACTGATGTAGACATCACAACAGAAGACAAGTCCCCGATTGACACATAATCTCCCTCTTCATATGGAGATGAACATTCCACCCTTGACAAGCATGCCAGCTGTATGGTAGGGCCAGCCCACCATGGGGGCCGAGGCCTGCACGGGACAAGGGCCTCCCGGCCTTTCCAGTTACTTGAGTTTGGAGCCAGAATGCAAGACCGGGAAGCACATAGCAGCTCAGGAAATTCCACAGTTGACTTGCCTTGCTTGCAAGCTTAGTGGAGAGCTGAAGGTTTCTGTGGTTCTGGAGGCCAAGTTCGCATCACAACCGAATGGCTTGAAAATGGAAGACATAAAACTGAGAGATTTTTCTGCACTAAGTTTTGGGAATCTGTCCCCTCTAGTGACTGAACTGACTGACTAATAATGTCATTTCTATATCTGCTCACCTGTCCCCTTGTCTGCCAACCTGTGTGCCTTTTTTGTAAAACATTTTCACGTCTTTAAAATGCCTGTTGAATACCTAGAGTTTAGTATTAACTTCTACACAGATAAACGTTCAAAGTTGACATAAACTTTTCTGACTCTTTCTGGGGAAAAAAAAAGGAAAGAAAATGGTCTTCCTTCTTTCTTGGGCAATATCTTTCACTTGACTATAGTTACTGTGGCAAATAGAAAGGCTACGCTTCTAACCACATTCAACTTCCTTCTCCTGTGGTCCCAAACAACTCCTCAGTTGCCCTTATAAAGTATCTCTGTTTGCCTGCTTCCAACAGTATTTTTTCTCCTCTAGAGTTGCACTTTTTTGCTGTAAACAGAATAAAGTTGAACAAACTAAGGGGTAGTCATGTTGTTCACAGTAACAACCTGTGTAGAATTCAGCTTCATGAGCAGTTACCCTGTCGGGTCCCGAACCCCTGTGCCACTGGGGTCGCACAGTCCCCATCCTGTTCTCTTGCGCCCCTCTTCACGCTAACACCAGTTACACCGTTTCCAGTTTAACGCTGCCGTCTTTCTCTTGCACTGCCTTCCACGCTATCACTTCCGTTTCTGTTTATAACCGTGTATTTATTACTTAATGTATATAATGTAATGTTTTGTAAGTTATTAATTTATATATCTAACATTGCCTGCCAACGGTGGTGTTCAATTTGTGTAGAAGACTCTGCCTAAGAGTTACGACTTTTCCTGTAACGTTTTGTATTGTGTATTATTATAGAACCTGAACATCGCTGAAGAGAGACATACGGGCCCCTCACCAGTTGGGTCTGCCCTTTTCCCGGTCTGAGTTGCTAATACTGCTCAACCCTTTCATGAACTGTTTTGGAAACGGGATTCTCACATTAGATACTAATGGTTTCTATTGAGCTTTTACTTTTGTATAGTTTGATAGGGGTAGGGGGCAGTGGGATGCGGTTTTTACCCCTGTTTTATCCAAATCTGTACACATGAGTTGAGTTTTAACTGGGTTCTACTATAATTGTGGCTTCGGTTTAACAAGAAACACTACATTCAGTTTAACAAGCAGCTCACAGATGGTTCTCCGGAGAGTCCCCAAACCACTGACTTTGAAGAGGAAGCCCCCTGCCTGCTGTTAAGCAGGAATGTCATGTTCCAATTAATTACAAAAGAGAACAATAAAACAATGTGAATTTTATAATAAAATGTGAACTGACGTAGTAAATTATGCAAATGTGAAGCTTCTGATAACACTTGTCAGGCCTCTGAGTGGCTTCAGTCTCTGTCTGTAAAATCTGTTTCATGCTTTCAGTTCAGCATTGTGACTCAGTAGTTCAAGAAATGGCACAAATGTGCATGACCAATGGGTTTGTATGTCTATGAACACTGCTTATTTCAGGTGGACATTTTATTGTTTTCCAAAGTTTCTCACAATGTATGTTATAGTATTATTATATACTGTGCTCAGATGCATTCTTAAGAGACTTTTATATGAGGTGAATAAACAAAAGCATGATTAGATTAGACTGTAGGCCCAATTATTTTGTGGTTAGTTCTGACGCATTGAAAGCAGATCTTTTTTTCCTCTTCTCTCCTACCGTACCCCACAGAGAAAACTACCCACTTTGCTTGGCCAGCATCACAACTAAAGTTTCATAATCTGTGTCCAAAAAGTCCCCTAGCTTGAAACATTTATTTTTTTAACAACTGTTCAACTAGCTCAGTGGTACGAGAAGGGAGACGGTGAATTAAAAGAAACAAAGCCACTTTAAGAATCTGAAGAGTTTAATCTACTGGATGAATAAAGGGAATCTCCAACTTGGCTGGGTCCTCTAGAAAAATGAATCATAGCACATCAACTTAATGTAGTCAGATGGTCCAACATTAGCTTACTGTAGTCAGATTGTCCCATTGATTCATCTGACACATGAAGAATCTGAGGTCCAAAGAGTCACCTTAAAGCACAATGCAAGGAGTGCTGACTGACACTCATGGTCATCTCAGTGATCCATGGAGTCTCCTGTTGATCATATGGTTATGCTTTTCTTTCTGGAAAGAACTGTGTAAATATCATAAACAAAATAATGCTTCGTTGAAAAAGTCAGCTTAAAAAAAAATTTATCCTGAGAAAGGTGTGTGTGTATGTGTGTGTGTGTGTGTGTACGTGCGTGCGTGCGTGTGCATGTGCGTTTGTGTGTGTGTGTGTGTGTGTGTTGAGAAAGCCTGCAAATAAGAATCAGTGGATGGCCCATGATATTTTAACCACAGGGGAAGTGGTTCGTGAAACAGGAAGGGGTCTGCTCTAGAAAAACTCCATTCAATAAACTGAAATTACTGTATTTCTTTTTAAAGACAATTGAAGGTGAGCCACTGTTGCAGAACCAGCTTGCCTGCTGGTTCCAGAGCTAGTATTTATAGTTCTTTGCCACCATCCCTGATTTCTGATTGCACCCCACTGTCTCTGAGCTTTTACAGATTGAGTGACAAAAGTGAATTGGTTAGAATAGCCATAGGTGTGACTTTAAAATATCTAGAGCTATAAATATTTATAACTATTTGCAGGTCTCTTCCTACAGAGTAGTTCTTACCGTTGGTGCAAAATTAGAATCATCTGGGGAATAAATATTTTTTTTAAATACTGATGTTTGAGTTCCATCCTCACTCCCAGATTTCTGTTTGAATTGGTCTTGGGTGGAGCCCTGGGCATCAGATTTTTAAAGTCTCCCCAGGTAATTCTAACGTGTAATCTGAGTGGAGAACCACTGCTCCAGAAGAGAGAAGCACACTTGTAGCTAAGGCTTTTGTCTTAGTCCATTCAGGCTGCTATAACAAAATTCCAGACTGTACAGCTTAAAAGCAGCAGAAATTTATTTCTCAAAGTTCTGGAGGCTGGGAATTCAAAGATTAAGATATTAGCATGATCACATTCTGGTGAGTGCCCACTTCCTGCTTCATAGCTGGTGCCTTCTCACTTGTATCCTCACCTGGTAGAAAGGGCTGGAGATCTCTCTGGACCCTCTTTAACAAGGGCACCAATCCCATTCATGAGGGCTCCACCCTCATGACCAAAGTACCTTACAAAGGTGACACCTCCTAATACATCATCTTTGGGGTTTTGGATTTCAGCATACAAATTTTAGGGAAACATAAACATTCAGACCATAACAGCTTTCTTTCACCCCAGCTGTCTTCAGACATTGTACACCCATCATGGCCAGGCGCTGGTTCAAGTATAGAGACAAGTAGGGATCAGAAATGAGTAAGATGGAGCTCTGCACTCCAGGAGCTTACAATGTGCTGTTGTTGCTCACTACTTGCCTTCCAGATTGTAAAATCATAATCATGCTCTCAGGAAAACCACAGTGAAGATCAATCTAAAAGAAAGTTCATCTTCTGACTCCAAAACATAGACCATAAGAGTAGTCATCCTCCCACATGATGGTAGGGAGCTACTGCAGAAGCAGAAGTTACTGCAGCATTTTTGCCAAGGCTGAGGGTGATAATTTGTGCTTAACAAAATGCATAGGAGCTAAAGGCTGATTTATAGACTCAGGAACTGTCAGAGTTGGAAAGAAACACACACACACACACACACACACACACACACACACACACACATGCTGGATGGCATTTCCCTGACATATTCCCACAGGCTTATTTTGATATAAATAAGTTGGGGGTCATGGTAATTCTAAGTCCACTGAAGGAAGCCTAATGGAGTCCAAGTGAAGGGAGGTGGTTTATTGTACTGATTCTGGAGCCAAATGGCCCGGGTTCAAATCCTAACTCCTTCATTTACTACCTGTACAACTTTAAATAAGTCACTTACTCACTGGGGATTATAAATCTGTCAGATGGGGATAATAACCCCAGGGCTTTTTCTACAATTTCATTGCTACCTCTCTGAGCCTCATATCTTTTGAGAGTGATGAAATCAACAATTGTATGAGCCTTAAAACCTGTGAACCAAAATGGACTAAGATGTCTGGTAAATGCCATTTATCAACCCACAATTTGTGCAGCCTGTGCCCCTTACCAAGAATTCTCCAACCTAGTCATCTCTTACATCCCTCAAGACTCAGATCAGGTGACCTCCTACAAGACGCTTCCCTGATCCCCAAGGTTGGGATAAGGACTCTTTTCTGGAAATCTGAGAACATCTCATGCTTTGACACTAATTAACTGTGTAACCTTGGGCAAGTCCCTTAACTCCCCTGTTCCTCACATTTATCATCTGTAAAGTGGGGATAATTATAATGATACCTAGCTTATAGCAGGTTATGTGAGAATTACATGAACTGATATACATAAAGTTCTAAGAAATGTTATGACTATTAATACCTACCACTATGTATTTAAGTTAGGTTTTTGTCTTTCCCAAAAGACCATAAATCATTGAAGTCAGAAGATGGATCTTATTCGCTATTGAACTTCCAGTACCAAATCCAATTTCTGAAATAAATATACATTTGTCAAACTGAATAGAACCAAGTAGTTTTGTGAAAGAGTGAAATACAACCCCATGTCTCAGGCTTTCCAAACCAAAAAGGTGTTTGTCTCAGAGCCCTGGAATGATAAGCCATACAATTCCAGAAACAAAATTTCCTCAGAGACCTTCCAGTCTCTGCCTTTTGTTTTATAATTAAAGAAACTGAGGTCCAGAGGCGGCCAGTGACCTGCCTGAGATGATAGAGTATATTAGTGTCATGGGGCTGCCATAACCAAGTACCACAAACTGGGTAGTTTAAAGAACCGAAATTTATTCTCACAGTCCTGGAGGCTAGAAGTCCAAGGTCATGGTGTCAGAGTGAATTCCTGCTGAGGGCTGTGAGGGAGAATCTGTTCTTCCCTCTCCTCTAGCTTTTGGTGATTTGCTGGCAATCTCTGGCATTCTTGGCTTGTATATGCAGCACCCCAATCTCTGCCTTCATGTTCACGTGATGTTCTTTCAGTGTGCATATCTGTGTCCAAATTTCCCCTTTCTGTAAGAACACCAGTCATGGGTTAAGGGCCCACCGTACTCCAGTAACGCTTTAATTAGTTGCATCTGCAACAATCCTATTTCCAAATAAAGTCACATTCTGAAGTACTAGGGGTTAGGACTTCAACATATAAATTTGAGGGGGATATAACTCAAATCATAACACACAGTTACTCACTAGAAGATTTCCTGATTCCTTACACAGGGATTTCTCTGCAGCATCTTGGAATCTGGGAGCCTTAGACATCCATTCAACTTCTCTGCACCTTAATCTCAGCTATAAAATCAGAGGAATGGACTATATGTTTGAACAGGTACTATTCAGTTACAAAAAGTGTAATGCTTTATACCAAGGTGTTTTTTGTTTTCTTAAGGTTTTTCTGAGCTCTTCAAACAAATTAATTATTTCCTTGGTATAGCTAGGTTCCACATGGATCAGGGAGAAGAGGAAGCAGGACCTTGGGGTAGGAGGACAAACATAGCCCAGGGGTTAAGAGCTTAGGCTCTGAAGGTAAACTGATCCCAGTTCAAATCCCTGCTCATCTACTTCTTAGCTGTGTACTGTGGGCAAATACTTAACCTCTTCAAGCCACAGTTCCATCCTCATTAAAGTGAGGATTTTGTAAAGACTAGTGAATATTGCATCTAATGGGCATGTGTTAGCCATTGTATCACAGATGTCAGCTAAGGCTCATTCCTTCCACAAATATTTATAGAGTGGCCAGTTGTGTGCCAGGCACTATGTGATGAACAAAATAGACAAAGGCCCTGGCCTTATGAAGTTTATATTTTAGAGAGGGAGAAAAAAAAACCCCAATAAATGAAAAGATAAGTAGTACAGTATCAGGTAGTATGACCTGTGCTGTGGGGTTGGTGAGTGACAGTGGTTAAGAGCAATGGCTCTGGAGTTCAGCTACCTGGCTTGGAATCCCAGCTTCACCCATTATTAATGGTCCAGACTGGGGTACAGCAAATACAAAGACCCTGAAAATACAGTGTGCCTGTCCACTGCGAAGAGTAGCAGCAAGACCAGGGAAGGCAGAGGAGTAGGAGAGAAAGTTGGTAGCCAGGTCACAGAGAGTCCTCAGGCTATTGTAAGGCTATGGGGAAGTTGTTGGAGAGTTTCAAGCAGGGGACTGACATGATCAGACCTACATTTCTAAAAGATCACTCTGTGAGGAGAATAACAATATTGAGGCACATGCAGAATCAGGGAGACCAGCCAGGAGGCTCCTGCAAGGGTCTTCTGAAGTGACCAGAACTTGACAAGATTAGTGGTGGCAGAGGTGTTAAGAGTTGGAAGATTTGGGGTAGGTTTTTATTTAAAAAAATTTTTTAATGATCCTCAGCCTGGTTTTATTATTTTTTTTATATTTTTCTTGGTCGCACTGCATGGCACGAGGGAGCTTAGTTCTCCAACCAGGGATTGAACCCGTGCTCCCAACAGTGGAAGGGCAGAATCGTAACCCCTGGACCACCAGGGAATTCCCTGGGGTAGGTTCTTAAAGCAGAGCCAACAGTACTTGCTGATGGACTTGAAAAT